TTGGGGAAGGGAGCCAGTAGCCTGTGCTAGTTCATTGCATTAGTAAGAACCAAAGCCCCAATATTGCTTGTGTTGTCCTTTTATTTTTAATCTTTCTGTGTTGTATTTTAGGTGTCTCTCTTATGAATAGAGATTTATAATTAAACCCAATCTATTTACTTCTGTTAGGTGGTGGTGGTTTTGTCATTGTTTTAACATCCATTCTGAAAACTTGTGGTCATGTTTTTAATGCTGATATTTTTCCTTCCATTCCTACTTCTGATTGGTTGATTGAAATATTTTAATTTTTTTTCTTTGATTTAGATGTTATATATTCTAGTTCTGAACTTTTAGTGGCTTTCTCAATATTTATAACATGAACACCTGACTTAAACTCTAAAATTAGTCAGTATTTCTACTGTTCTATGGAAGGACTGTAGATTAATTACAATCACTGCCCCACCTCCATCTTATAAGTTACATAGTTAAGTATTTTAATTCCATCTCTTTATTCTATCCCTAAGTATTGCTACCCGGGAACTTACTAGGCTAGCTTCCCCTGGAGGATCTGCTCGGCAGAAGCTAGCAGCGACCACATCTGCCACCTTCCCTCTCCCACTGGAGTTTTCCTTTGAGAAGCCCCCTTTTCTGACATTGGTGTTCTTGAAATGCTGAAGTTTATATTGTTTTTCCAAGTGAGAGTATGGTATTTAATATTTCCAAAGAGTACCATGTTTAAAAGTACTTCATGCTTTTGAGAGAGCGAGCTTGGGATTTTTGAGATAAGGCAGGGATAAAGTGGTGTGCAGTGGTCTCTCCTGAAGATGGCTATGTGTATGGTTTCCATGGTTCTCTAGTCTGTCCATTAATTACCATGGGCACTTAACAGCGAATGGGTCACGTGACAGGAACCTCTTCATCTGAGGCTGTTGAGCCTCGTGTTTTGTTTCCACATAACAGAATCAGAATGGAAGGTTTCCTAGATACTGGCTACTCCCAGATCATTTAACCATCACATAAGATGTTTTAATATCTGGTGGTACAGAATTTAAGATATGGCTCCAGCCTCATAAACTTGCAAGCAGATGGGGACAAGGCTGAGTGCTACACAGTGGAAAAGGTACATGAGTCATTGTAGCCCTAAATGTAGCCCCGGTTTCAGAGGGAGAGAGACTCTAGGCTCCTAGGATCTACTTGAAGACAGAGGGGCATTACCTGGGGAAAAGCTCCAACAGGTGGCACTTTCTCTGATTTGATGCTTTAATTTATTTAGCCTACTAATAAATGCCAAGAAAAATTACGTGATTGCAGGTGTTCCCATGATTCAACTGCCCGGTCTGGGGCACTGCTGTTCAGACTGGGAGCCCAGGTGTGACTCCAAGTGATGACTTTCATTGTTTTTATTAAGGGCACTAGAAAAGGATTCTGGGCGTGGGTGATGACCTGCAGATTACAAAGGTTCTGACTTGTCTGCATGTAGCCATGTTTCCAGTTGAAGAATACTGATATGCTGCAGCCGTTTACAGCACCAAGTTTGAATTAAACATGCTTTGCACTAGATTTGTCCTGGCTTTTCCTTTTAAGCAAGATCATGGAAATAGGCATTTGAAAGTATGTGAAGTTTTCTGGGCTACAAGCTACAGAAACAGTTGAGATACCACCTGTGAGCAGTTGGTGATTGCTGGCGGGGGGCGTTTATCCATGTGTAAGATCCAGGGGCTTAAGTCTCAGATTGCTGGTTATTTCTCTCTGAGCCTTCAAACCCCCAGACCACACACAACAGGTACACGTACCTCCACTCCAGACCCCTGAGCAGCGCTGCCCTTGTCCTAAGGGAGGGTCTGAGGTTTATTGCCTGTTCTTCAGAAAAAGAACAAAAAGCATGTGACCTAGAACTGTGTGGCCAAGACTGTCGTGTGTCTCTGAGTCCTCCAGCTGCCCTCCTGCAGGCCGCGGGGACATTGCGGAGGCCTGGGCTGAGGTACCATTGTCAACCCCGCAGCTCACTCAGGCCCTTTCATGCCTAACAAGGGAGCCTGGGCCCCACAATGGTAACACTACCCCTTTTTTTAACGCAGTGGCTAACACTAGTTTATTTCTCTCATAACAATCCAGTAGCCATTCTCGTCTGCCAAGTCTTCTGAATGGTGGCTTGGGACCAGGATCCCTCCATCTTGTGTCTCCACTGTGGCCGCAGAGACCCCCAAGTGATCCTCTGCAGCTGGCGAGCAGATAGAGGAAGAGGAAGAGGATAGAGGAAGAGAGTGAGACGTTTACAGTGGGGCAGGGCTGAGGATAGAACACATCGCTGCTGCCTGTTTTGTGCAGAAGGCTGGAGATGTGGACTAGTTGTATCTTGGACAAGGACCCTGGTTTGGTGAACAGCTAATATTTTCGACACCCAACTTCGAAAGCCTCCCCTGAGCTGATTAGGAGATACCAGATGCCTGGGCGCCTTCCCTGTCCACTCAAGCCCAGTGACTTGCTCGTCTTTTGGAGCTGCTATGGGCTATTACTCCTCTTGTCGAGGGCATGGTATGGCTGCACAAATTATCTGAGGAATTAATAAAAGATTAGTTAAGTATTTAAAGATCACAATAACTTCTGGAGTTTAGGTTCCAGGCTTCAGTAGTTTTTAAAGTTTCCCCAGTTGATTCTAATAGGCAGCCAGAGGGAGAACCAACAATGTGGACAAAGGATGTGTTGTCTGATTAGAAGTGAGGGAAAAATACAGTGAAGAAGGTGAGCCTAGGGCAGCCCTAGGCTGGATAGAAGGCTGGCCAAGGCCTGACCTTCTTCCCATGAGAGGTAACTTTAGTTTGTTCCTTATGACCAAAGGAGCCTATAATCGGTACCCTCTAATGTCAAACTTGAGCAAGTCAGAGCACCCCTCTGAGGAAGAGTAGTTTGACCTGTTTTGGCAGCACTTGGACACTGAGGTGTAAAACCTGTCAAGCCCTTTGTGGGGAGCACAAGAGGGACAGCCATAGCCACAGTCCTGGAAATCTTGGCTATTAGGTAGCCACCACCAGCACCAACAACAAACTGTGGGGCTGGGGAGGTGGAAGAGTTGTAACAGTGGCCTGGGTTTGACCAGAGAATTTATAGGGGCCCTTAAATCAGGCAACACAAATTCCATGAAGGAGTCAAGGGCCAGCTCCATGAGCTGATGGCTCCTGGCTGCACACACCTCTCGGCACTGTTTTCAGAGAGCTTGTCTCAGGTGCGTGTGAGGACCTCTCGTCTCCTTCCATTCACCAGATGGGCCAAGGGGACACTGGAAGAACAGGGATCAGTCTCTCACCCGTACCTCCCTCAGCAGGAAGGCCAAAGCTGCAGCTATCCAGCCCTGGGGGTTTTCTTGGCTGTTGCCTCCTGGTGACTGTTTCCTCTGTGCACAAGGTACCCAGTGGGGTTCTTTATTGGCCTGCCTTCTGGCCATTCTAGAAAATAAAAAACTGGGATCACCTCTGGTGAGGGTGAAGGAATGTTTAGTCAAGCTAAATTTGGTCAAGGCAGGGTCCCCATGCTCCTGGAATCCAGTATTTCAGAAGGGTTGCTTTGGGGTGATGTGCGTGGACAGGAGCTGATGTGGTAGCCTAGCTCCCCGAAGCAGCTCCGGGGAGTTCTGCCTCTCGCTAAGATGAGAGTAGGGATGTAGCTGTCTTCTCAGTGGAAGACTCCAAGCTTGTAAAGCAGCGTCAGTTCCTGCTTTTTGTCATTTTTTTTCGGTGGAAGAAGCAGGGGATGAAAAACTATTTCCTTCCATTTCTGAAACAGATAAAAAAGTATATATATCTTTCGGTGGGTGTGGCTGAGATAAACCAGATGTGGAAATGAGGCCCAGAGGCAGCGGGAAGCCTCCTGTAAGTTCCCTCCTGAATCCTAACGCTGCTCCTGATGCACCAGCCTCGCCGTGTCCTCACCACCTCCCCGCCCGTCTCCCGTGTCTGCACTCTGGCCTGTGCCCAGCCCCACTGCTGTGCTGTGTGCAGGCCGACCGTCTGTCATCTGGCCACGCTCCCCCCGCCCCCCGTGTCCTCCACAGCACCAAGCCTGCCTGCTGCGGCTGTGCTAGGCCAGCACCCCCCCCACACCCCGCCACTCCAGCTGCACAGATCTGTGCCCCAGCGTGGAACACACTCCTGGGCAGATCCAAGCTCTCCCTGTTCTTCACCTTCACTTCTTCCACCTTCACTCAGGATGGGGCACCTGCTGCCTGCTGTTCACGCAGCATTGCACATGTGCTTCCGGACTAGAGGGCCTCACTAGAGGTCCTCAAAGTGGGGACGCTGTGCCAGCAGCATGGTGTCTCCTGGGAACTTGTTAGAAAGGCAAATTCTTGTTTCTCCACCCAGACCTACTGAATTAGACACGCAGCGATCTGTCTTACCAAGGCCTCCCGTGCTAGTTTGAGACGCAGTGCCTCAGAGCGAGCGCCACCTGTCGCCATGCGTGGACTGAGCTACTTCAGCTCACTAGGCCTCAGCTTGAGGGTAAGAATAGAGCCACGGCTGCCCTCGAGCATCTGGGCTTTGTGCACAGGGCCTTGGGGGGTAGCGTGAGCTCAGTGGTCCTTCTGTGTTCTGGAAGTCCAGGGCTGTGCCCCAGCCCTCCCACGTGTGTCCAGCACAGTGCTCCCCAGACAAGGCACAGCCCACACGTTCAGGCCATGTTGGCCAACCCCTACTGATGAGGGAAATGAGCGGGTAAAAATTCTCAAGGCCATACCCTGGATTTAGGACAGACATGAATCATTTTTTGTTAATAAAAGGTTTAGTAAGAAAGGACTTAGGCCGCCCTCCCTTAAAGCCAAAAGGCAGCAGTGACCAGCAGGGCCACAGGGTGGTGCACTCCCATCTGCCAGTGGCTGGCAGAGTCTCAGCACCGCCCGCCCGCCATGTGCGCCCACGCCAGGCCCGAGACTCCCCTGCAGGGGCGCCACCTCACAGGCTGCCCCGTGGCGGGATCTGTGGCAGGCCGGAGATGTAGCACAAAGCAGCACAGCGAGCAGGCAAGTGCACAATTAAATAGATGTTTAATCATCTCACAACAGACAGTAGTGCAGTAGTAGAAATTTGTTGTGTCTTTTTTAAAAAGTAACTCCCCCAAAGCTCCCATTCCTCAACACCCAGATGCCACGGCGGAGGAGCAGGGCCAGAGGGACCCAGGAAGTCTCCGTTCCAAGGAGCTGAAAGTCTTTCCGAGTCCAGGCTGCCTTGTGAGCAGCCAAGAGCCCTTCGAGGAGCTGGCACGCGCTCACTCTAACACGCACACATGCAAGGGACGGAGGGGACCACAGCAGGCGGTCGCACACATGCGCTCTCATGCCACAGCATTCCAGTCCATCTGAGGCTGCCTCCTCTGGGGACAGGAGTGGTGGCCTAAGCCCTGAAGCAGCAAGTGCTGGTCAGAGGACGAGGCGGGGAGGCAGTCTAACCCAGCAGCCGGAGAGGTCCCTTCTCATCCCTGCACCAGCTAATCCTCCCTGTGTCTCAGGCCAGACAGGAGAAGGTGGGGCTCCAGTGCTAAGGGGCTCCAGACATCATTTCTGCACTACCGTCCCAGCATCAGTGGTGCAGGGAGGGGACGCTACCTCCTACTGGCCCAGCGAGAGGTGCACTCTCCCCCGGAGAAGAGAGCAAAGAGGTGCCCACGGTCGGGCTCTCTGGAGCCAGGAGGCTGGTGGTGCTTGGTTCTGTGCCCAGATGTGTTTGTAGGGGTGGTACAGCAGGCCCTGTCCTGGGCACCCTGGGCACAGCGACGCTGCCAACGGGAGCTGCAGAGGAGGCCGGGAGCTGGCTGCGTCTGTCCTGGGGCAGGGGAGGGGTTTGCAAAAACGGAGGCCCTGAGGTCAGGATACTTGGGGGCCCACCAGACAGGTGTGAAGAGGAAACCTCTTCATTCACAGCTTCATTCAGGGGTTCCTAGAGAATGTCTCTGATTCAAGTCTCAGCGGTCTGGCCGGGGGTGTTGGGGTGGAGTGACCGGCGGACGCCGGGAGGGCAGCTGCCCGCAGACTCGGGAGGTAGGAGGACCGGCTCGGCAGCGCGCTGGGAGCTGGGCCCGAAGAGACAGACCGGGTGGCTACAGGATCTCCTCCCGTGGGCTCCTGGCCTTGAGTGGGGTCTGCCCGTTGGGCACAGAGCCGTTCTGACCGTGCAGGAGTCTGCCCTTGTCTCGGTCTGGCCACGTGAAGATGGCGTCGTCGCTGTCCAGCTCTGACTCAGAGTGCATCAGGCTGCTGCTCAGCGCTGGGCCTTTCTGTTTGGTGCCTGCGAGGAAAACGAGGAACCCGGCGTCAGGACACAAGGCCTGCCAGGCCGGAGTCACACCGCACATCCTCATCCCTGCCTGAAGAGAAGCCAAGCGACAGGCTGGGAGGGCGGACAGGGAGGCAGCTTCCCTAGTCCCTCAGCCGGTCCTGGCTGGTGCGGTCCCCGAGGAGAGTCACAGAGAACAGACTGGGGAACAGACCCGGGTTCTACTGCTGCCTATTGTCCCCAGTATCCGGGAGCTTTGGTTAGTGCCACCCAAGGACATTCTCTTTTCTTTCCCTTTTAAATTTGGAATTTTTTATCACCTCCCTTTATGAATGTTTTCTCTTGTACCTCTACAGGTAGCGGGAGATGGGAGGCAGGGAGGCACAGAGCACTCAGCTCTGCAGAATGCACTTTTACCCACATCCTAAGCAGTTCCTGGGTTCCTGACATGGCAGGAGGTGTAATCCAGTCCACACAGCTGTCCGCCCCGGCTCAGTGCGCCCTGGCCTCGATGGGTGGGGTGTGGCCACGGGCTCGAGAGGCCTCTGCTGCAGGGAGAGCCCGACTGGAGTGGGACTCTCAGAGACAGTCCCAGGCGACCAAGAGCCCGACTGGAGTGGGACTCTCAGAGACAGTCCCAGGCGACCAGCTCATCAATAAGGACCAAAGGAGGCCTCTCAGGTCGGAAAAGATGCCTGCGATTCTGCAAGCCACCGGAGTCACCTTTACTACTTATCCCTGCAGCTGCACAGAGGCCACGCCCATCACGTGGTTGGTGAGAGTTTTAGGGCAGATCTCGTCCAACAGCAAGGTGGCCACCCTCTGGTGGTGCAAAGTACCCAGAGAAAGCAACAGGCAGGCTGAGGCGGCAGCACCACGGGTAGACTGCCAACAGGGAGACCACACCTTGCTCTGCACCCTCGAACCACCCCCAGGAGTTAACCTCCCTCCTTTCCTAAGGCGGCGACCAGTCAGATCAGGCAGCACCGTAACCGCATCATCCAACAATCAGTCTCCCTTCCCAGGTCCTATCCAGGTGCCCCCAGGACACTGAAGGGACGTCTTGAGAGGATTCTCAGCCGGCCAGACCTGACTTATGGCTGTGAGTGCTCTGAGCTCTAGGCTGGGGCATCCCGACCTGACTGCATCGGCCACTCGGGGACCACAGGCTCTTGCACACCTTGCCCTTTCGTGCTTTTGTCTGTGTGCGTGCTCTGGTGCTCAGACGAGCTTGCCCATTACCCAGCCTTGTCTGTGTCAGGGGTACGGCTGGGACACGACTGTGCACAGCTACTCATCCTACTGAGTCTCCGGATGGCAGGGCAGCAGGGCCACCAGAGAACAAGGGCAGCCTGGGCTTCTCCAGTGTGCTGGGGAGGGCGGCCATATGAGATCCCGGCCCAGGGAAGGTTCAAGTCCTGCAAAGGCCCTGCCTTGCCCCTGTCGATGCAACACCCACCCGCTCTCAGCCTCCTTTCCTTCCCAAAGGCCCTCGGCCGTAGCTGCACGGACAGGAGCCCGAGGGCAGATGTGTTCTGGCTCCACAGCACACAGTGCCCAGCTGGAGCCCTGCCTGCTCTGGATGGCGGATTGAGTGGACTTTACCCACTCAATGTACAAGCTGGAAAAAATGAAAACTGAACACACACATCCCACCTGCCTCCGCATTTCCGCTCCATGCAGAAGCCCACACCTATGCCCGCCACAAGACACGGACGAGAATGTCCATAGCAGTACTCACGACAGCCAGAAATGGAAGGAAGGCCGTTGCGTATCAACAGCGTGAATGATGAATAAAGATACTCACGCAGTGGGAACCGCACGGCAGTGAGAAGGGACAGCTAGCGCTCTGTAACAGCACGGTGAACCTCACCAACGCAATGTCTCGTGCAAGGAGTGAACACGACACTTCCACTGATGCCATGCACGCCAGGAGATGGGAAGTCACCTGGGCTGGGGCAGCTGGAGGGAGCTCAGATCGGAGCTCTGGGGGTGATTACACGGTTGTGGTACACTCTCATCAGCCACTTAGCACCGCCAGCCACGTGTGCCAACGCCAGGCCAAGACTCCCCTGCAGGGGCATCACCTCACAGGTTGCCCCAGTGGCAGGATCTGTGGCAGGTCAGAGATGTAGCACAAAGCAGCACAGCGCTGAGCAGGCAAGTGCACAATTAGTGAAGCAAAGTGAAGCAAAACCCATCACACTGTACTTAGGATTTTCTGTACAGATTCGGTTAAACCACATAAAACTGCCATGTTTGTAGGTCAAAAAGTCAAATATAAGTAATTTCATATGGTTCAATTTAATATACTTCAGTAGAGAGTTTTGGAAAAAATAGAATAGCAAAACCAAAGCAAACTGAACCCAAACCACAGCTGCTGAACGTGAGGCTTGGTCTCCTGAGGGTGGCACGCCCCATGCTCTGCCCGGCGGCCGCGGCGCCCCAGAGCGCCAGGCTCACCTCGGCCTCTCCATGGCCCGAGCCCACCCTGGCTCCCAGCACACAGTGGCCCTGCAGGCTCCCTGCCACACACCACCCTTCTCTGCCCCAGGCCCACCATCTGCTTTTCCTCCAACTAAACAACTTCAGTCCCCACCTTCTCCAGTGTGGCCTCGAACCCCATTCCCCTCATGCTGTGGTGACTGCTCCAGCCACACTCGCTTACCCACAGATCCCAGAACAAGAGCCGGTGCCTCCGGCCTGGCCAGACCCACACCACACCCGAGCGGACCTGGCGCTCCCTCAACTAGACACTGCCCACGGGACCCTTGCTTGCTCTCACACCATCGGCTTCCGTCACCGGGAAGCCACCGGCCCACCCTGTGGCTCTCGCCTGCCCCCTCTAAGAAGCCCGCTGCACTGAGCTCAGGCTCCCGCCCTGGCCCCGTTCCCAAGCACGGCCCTTCCTGTGCCATCGCCCACTGGCCCACTCCTCACTCCACGGCTGCCTTTCTCCCCCTCTTCCTCCTCAGGCCCCCACCTCCACACCACCCGTCTTCTCCATCTGCACCTACAGATTCGCTCAGGAGCCCCCTCCCAGGAAGCCCTGGCCCTCTGGTGTCTGTCCTGCTTCTCCTCCAGTCTGCGCGACTCAACTTCTAAAAGAGTGTTTAAATGCTTAGGGCCCAGCTGCTCACCCCCACCGCACCCCAATTGCCTCCACTTCCACAGCACACTCCGTCCTACTCCAGCTCATTAGGAAACCAGGGACTTCCCCCGTGTCGTCGTGGACTCTGATTCTTTGACCTCTGCAGCAGCAAACGCAGATGGCCACTCCCAGTAGTCCCACCCCACCCCCCACCGCCCTCCCTGACGGTCCTTCTGGGCTCCTCACCCCTGGGCCTCTCCTGTAGCCCCTCAACATTCTCCCATAGGGACGTGACCCCTTTTGTGGTGCCGAGTCCATAACAGCAGGTGGAAGGTTCCTGTTTCTACACTTCCAGTCCTGTTGGCAGAATTCAACTGAATTCTTCTCTCACCCAGTCACTGCACCAGGTGTCTCGATTCTGTAACAACACTGTCCTTCCCTGCCTCTCAGCCTGGAAGTCAGCCTTGACCTCGCCTGTCCCTCTGTCCCACTGACACCGTGCTGTCTGAGCCACTGTCAGCTCCTCCTTGGACCAAAAATCTTGCTGGTCTCCTGACCTGTAGCCCCTCCCCTTCCGTCGGTTGTGTCGTCAGCAGAGTGATCCCCCTAAGCTAGCATGTTCAAGGTGTCACCTCCCATCACCATCAGGATAAATGCTTAGATCCTCAGGCTGGTGTCGGCCTCGGTTCCTCTGCTCCACGTACAACCGTCCGAAGTCGAACGCCAGATCTTCCCCAACGTGTTCTCCAGTCTCTCCATCTTGGGGAACGCCACCACCCAGCCGTAGAGATGGGAACCTTCCTCCCCGTCTCCCGCCCTCACCCCCTCGGCAACACACCACCACCAAGTATTTCTCCAGAATGTACGTGGGATCTCTGTACCTCACTCTCTCTTCCAGGACACAGTATCTAATCCCCCGGCCCCACTCCAGTTCCCTCACACATCAGCCATACGTTCTTTTTAATGTGTGACCCACATCCCACCATTAGGCCCCTTAAAAAAAAATCAGTGGCTCCCTGCTACTCTGGGAGAAGCCCACGGCAAGGTCCCTGCTCACCCGTCCAGCCCACGGCCACTCACACCTTGCTCAGCCAGGGACCTCCTCCTCCGTCCTCACACGCCCTCTGCTCCCTGCAGTGGCTACATTCGCCCAATTCTTGGTTCCTGCACCTGGAATGCTGTTCCCACCCACCTGGCTGCTGCTCCTCCTCCTCAGGCTCAGCTCATTCTCCATAAAGCGCTATCCTTATTACAGCCTTTCATCATCATATTTTATGCAGTTGTGAGTTTGTTTAGTATAAGCTGCGCAAGGCCGGAGGCTGCTTGATCTGCCATGACACAGCCAGTGTCTGACGAGGGCTGGAACACGGGTGTAGCTCAGACCTGCAGAGGAGCAGGCACAGCCCCTGCCCTGCAGGAGTCCACTGACCGGTGCGGACACAGACAAGACGTAACTAATCCTAAGACAGTGACAGAAGGGCCAAGCCAGACGTGGGAGAAAGATGACCCAGACTTCAGGAGTTGAGGGAGGGATGAGAGAGCTTTCCAGGCAGAGAGATTGAACCAGCAGAACTTGTTTGGTAAAGAGGGAAATCAGCAAGGAGGAAGATTCTAGAAAAATAATCTGACTTAAGCTCACAAAGGCTGTGTCTACCAGACCAAAAGTGCTGGAAATAGAAGTCACTGAAGAATTTCAAGGGGCAGAAAGGCAGAGTCAGAGTAACGAGATCGACACCGGCTGCCGTGGCCCACGCACGTTTTCCCCTTGGCCGTGTTCTAGACGTTCCCGAGCGAGATGCTCTGCAGCCCTGCTGCTCTGCTGCTGTTTCCCTTTTCTCCCTCATGGACTGAGGTCCGGCCTGTGTGTGATGACTATATCCCCTGCAGCCACTTCCTAATACAAGCCTTAACCATGAAAGGTGTTTAATAAAGGTTTTGGATAAAAACAGTTCTACTTGCAGAGTGTATGGGAAGAGCTGTAAATAGAGTCCAGCTCTTATAAACAGACAACACCTGTCCTGTGACATCCACGGGTGGAAACCTCACCAAGTGACCGAGCCCAGCGAGAGAGGCCCCACTACCCGCCCCAACCCTCCAGTGCTGTCACTCAGAGTCACCTCAGGGTTGTACAGTAGGAAATTGTCCCAGGGCAGGCACCCGGCCCAGTCCACACGGAGCCCGCAGGCAGCTGCCCTCCTGTGTGCTCTGAGACAATGAGGGAGGCTGTGGCTTTGCCAAAAAATGAAAAGGAGAAGATGGGAGAGGGAGGCTGGCTGAAGACATTGGCTTTGAGTTTGTCCCTGCCCATAAAGGACTGACTGGTCCAGCATAAGAGACCCAGGTCCTTGACTCTGACTACTAGGGCGGCTCAAAAAGCTGAACTCCGGGTGGTACACGCAGGGGACAAGCAGGTGAAGGGAAGCCAGAGGCCCGGCCCCTCTGCAAGGAGCACTGGGCAGCGAGCCCTGGAGTCAGCTGTCCTGCATGCAGCTCAGGGCAAATTTGACCCTCAGTCTTCATCAGGCAAGGGGATAGCATGATCAGCTGTTAGTGCCACATTCGGGAGTGGACTAGTGACGATGGCCCTTCACAGAGAGACTGAGCCAGCCTGCCTAGTGAGAGCAGGCCCCTACCTGCTCGCGAAGTTGGCTTCAGCTCCAGGCTTTCTTGATCTGTGGCATCCAAGATCTTGTATTTGCTTTTCCTCTTGGGTTTTCCTTTTTGCCTAGAAAACACAACCCCTACCCCCGCTCAGGAAAGAGGCTGTGTGTGACGCTCAGGCTGACAGTCGCCCATGCACGTGGGCCCTGTCTGGGAGGCGGCCTACTGGGAGTGTCTCTCCTCACTTGTCAGCCAAGGGAGGTGGCAGCTGTGATTTGCTGCTCACATGTCCCCACCCATTCTGGGGAAAGGTAAGCGAGCTATGACCACCTTGGCGTGGACTCGCCACTCCACAGTGGCAATGGAGGACAGATTGGTTAAATATGTAAGAAAACAAACCCTCTGCTTAAGGGGAATGAGAAGAGGGCAGCACTACACCAACAAAGTTGTCAGTGGTGGCTGTCTTAGGCTGGTGGGAGGTTTTTTTTTTTAAGTTTCTAAGTTTTACATGAGGTTATGTTGCAGGTTGAATCCCAGCTCTGTCACTTATTAACTGTGTCTGTCCTTAGACAGGTGATATAATTTTCCTGAGCCTTAGTTTTCTTATCTGTAAGATGGGAAATGGTTATAAAGTATATTTAAAAAAATATTACCAAACAATTTTATCATGATACACAGTAAACAGAAATACTTATTCTTAATAATGAAAAACATATAATAAATGTAACTATTATTAGAAGACTAGATAGGAAGACTCAAATGAAAAAACCCAGAACACTTAAGCATCACTAACCTAAGTCTACAATTGTGTGAAAATGTGTATCCACATGAACCCCAACTAGAAAGGAAGGCAGGATCAAGAACTCAGGTGCTATGGTGGTGAGGCTGAGATGTGGAGTGTTAAAGAACACACACCTTAGAGATGTGATCTAGGTCCACACGCCACCTCCCACCCACCTCCTCGCCTTCCCCACCCCCACCCAACCCATGTTTCCCAGGTTCAAATCACTGCGGTGACAGCCGCTTGACTGAAGGAGTGTTCAAATGAGAAAAGCCTTCCTGCAATGTGCCCTGGTGAGCCAGACTACTCTAACGGGGACTGGGGACCCAGCAGGGTCCTTCCATGTGGACTAAACATCTCTCTTGAGAAACTAATATATGACAAGAAACCCCGATGAATTTCAAAGGAGAATCCATCTTACCTCTTACAACAACAGATCACAGTCCAAGACAGGATTCCCAAGGCAACGACAATGACAAAGGTAGCAATGATAACATACAACACGCTCCACTCTGCCAAGAAAATCAAAATGGCGAGGGCCTTAGAGACAGGCTGGAAGGGCAGTCTGGGCTCCCCCCAGCTTGGGCAGGTGCTGGCTTCGCTCTGGAGAAAGAATGCCCCCTAGGCTCCCTAGGAAGGTGAGGCCTTGGAGTTAAGGGCAACTGAGGCTTTAAGTCTTTTGAAATGTCTCTGCTTTCCAGTCCCTGCTCCAGGAAAGCTCTGGGACCCTGCAGTAGTAGCACAGGCTGAAAAGAGCTTTAGGAGTGGGAAACACAGGTTTCCATTGGGCTACAGCACAGAGGGGGTCCAGGAAACAGGAGGCCTTGTAGCTGGTCAGATTGAGGCTGCAATTGGTAATGGGTCTGACTTAAGTCTGGTTCTTCTTACACGACTGCTTCAGAGCTTTCCCCTAACCTTGAGCAAGTATGGAAGAAGGAAGTAAAATCCTCTGCAAACAGAAAATACACAAAGTTCTTCTGCTCGCCTGCTCATCTGCCTCAGAAACAACCAACACCCACCCACTCAGCACAGAACCACATTCAGTGCCAAAGCAGCGGGCACCGTGCCAAAGAGAAAACTCACCACAGTTGCTGTCTCCGTCCCTCAGCTGCACCTTGATGAAATTCTCCATCCAAAAGGGGTCACAGATACAGCGTTTGGTGAAGGAATCGCAGTGGCCATGGTCAGAACAGTTCAACTGACATGCTGAAGGTGGCAGGAACGGGAAAGAAAGCAACAAGAGTCAGAGCCGGGGTGACAGCCAGCATCCAGGGCCTGTGAGGAAACTCAAGCACCCCTGGTTCATGCTCTGAGCTGAAACTTCCCCGAGACCCTATTCAATAGTCCTCACAGCTAGGGCCTGGTGCCCATAACTATCATCACAGCTGGGTAAAATGGGAGCAGCTGGGAAGGCCACTAGAAAGGAAGTTCCAGTCTATCTGTACTTGTTGTTTCTCTGTATCAGCAATTCTTAATCTTTTATGTCCCATATACCCCCCTACTCAGAATATAATTGCAAATATAGAAAAATTAATCCTATAATTTATATGGAACCACAAAAGACCCAGAATAACCAAAGCCATCCTGAGCAAAAAGAACAAAACTGTAGGAATCACATCATCTGACTTCAAATTATACCATGGAGCTGTAGTGACCAAAACAGCATGGTACTGGCATAAAAAACAGACAGACCAACGAAACAGAATTAAAGAACCCAGAAATAAATCCACACATCTATAGTGAACTTATCTTTGACAAAGGTGCCAAGAACATACAGGGGGAAAGGACAGTCTCTTCACTGGTGCTGAGAAAACCGGATATCCATATGCAGAAGAATGAAACTAGACCCTCATCTCTTGCTGTATACAAAAATCACATCAAAATGCATTAAAGACTTAATTCTAAAACCTGAATATATGAAACTACTAAAAGAAAACACTGGAGAAACACTTCAGGACATTAGGCTGGGCAAGGACTTCTTGAGTAATACCCCAAAGCACAGGCAACCAAAGCAAAACTGGACAAATGAGATCGCCTCAAGCTAAAAATCTTCTGCACAGCAAAGGAAACAATCAACAAAGTGAAGAGACAACCCACAGAATGGGAGATATTTCCAAACTACCATGTAATAAGGAATTAATAACTAGAATATATAAGGAGCTCCAACAACTTAATAGGAAAAAATAAAATAATATAATTTAAAAAATGGGCAAAGGATCTGAATAGACATTTCACAAAAGAAGACATACAAACCCCCAATAGGTATATGAAAAAATGTTAAACATCATTAGTCATTAGAGAAATGCAAATCAAAACTTAAAATGGCTTTTATCAAAAAGATAGGTAATAAACAAATGCTGATGAGGATGTGGAGAAAGGGGAACCCTAATATATTGTTGGTAGGAATGCAAATTAGTGCAATCAAAATGGAGAACAGTATGGAGGTTCTTTGAAAAACTAAAAAAATAGAGCTACTATGTGACCCAGCAATCTCACTGCTGAGTATATAACCAAAGGAGGGGAATTCAGTACATCAAAAAGATATCTGCACTCCCATGTTTACTGCAGCACCATTCACAATAGCCAAGATTTGAAATCAACCTAGGTGTCCATCAGTGGATGAATGGATAAAGAAATTGTGGTATGTATACACAATGGAATTTTTTTTTTTTTTTAAACAGTCTCACTTTGTTGCCCAGGCTAGAGTGAGTGCCGTGGCATCAGCTTAGCTCACAGCAACCTCAAACTCCTGGGCCCAAGTGATCCTTCTACCGCAGCCTCCTGAGTAGCTGGGACTACAGGCATGCGCCACCATGCCCGGCTAATTTTTTTTCTACATATTTTTAGTTGGGCAATTAATTTCTTTCTATTTTTGGTAGAGACGGGGTCTCACTCTAGTTTCGAACTCCTGACCTTGAGCCATCCGCCTGCCGCGGCCTCCCAGAATGCTAGGATTACAGGCGTGAGCCACCACACCCAGCCCCCACAATGGAATATTATGTAGCCACAAATAACAATGAAATCCTGCTATTTGAAACAACACGAATGGAAATGGAGAACAATATGTTAAATGAAATAAGCCAAGCACAGAAAGACAAATCTCATGTGTTCTCACTCATATGTGGGAGCTAAATATTAAAACAATTGATCTCATGTAGACAGAGAGTAGAATGATGGTTATGAGAGGCTAGGAAGGGTAGCAGGGAGTGGGGGAACAAAGGGAAGGATGGTTAATAGGTTAAATAGAATGAACAATATTTGACAGCATAACAAAGTAACTATAATCAACAATAAGTTAGGGTATACTTTAAAATAACTAAAAGAGGGAACTAGAATGTTCCTAAGAACAAAGAAATGTTAAACGCCTGAGGTAACGGATACCCAATTACCCTGTTTTAATTCACACTGTATGCCTGTATCAAAACATTACATGTACTATTCAGCTCTAAGAAACAACAGTGATATAGCACATCTTATATTTTCCTGGTTAGAGTTGGAACCCATACTATTAAGTGAAGTTTCCCAAGAATGGAAAAACAAGCACCACATATACTCACCAGCAAATTGGTATTAACTGAGCAGCACCTAAGTGGACACATAGGTACTACAATAATAGGGTATTGGGCAGGTGGGCGGGGGGCGGGTATATACATACATAATGAGTGAGATAGATGTGCACCATCTGGGGGATGGTCATGCTGGAGACTCAGACTTGTGGGGGCAGGGGGGAATGGGCATTTATTGAAACCTTAAAATCTGTACCCCCATAATATGCCAAAATAAAATAAAAAAAAAACATTACATGTACCCTATAAAGATACACAACTATTATGTACCCATAATAATAAAAAATAAAAAATATATTTTTAAAAGAATTATAAAAATAAAATATAGTATTACAAAGGAAAACAATTATTATATTTAACATCTTTTTGAAATATTTAAGAACACAAATTTTTGAAGTAATGTGTCTTTATTAAAACATTAAGTCAAAGAGCTGTAAGTGGCTCTAACAACTATCAAAATTTTGAAATAGTGATGAATAAAATGGTATCTCATCATATAATGTGATATGGAATTATTTGTGATTTCTATTGCCTCAAATTCACAGGTTGCTACTACTGTAGTTTGTTGCTACCTTCATCATCGAGGGAAAGTGAAAATAAGAGGTTACTGAAAACAAGGATGCAACTTTTGCCCATTCAAGCTCACGGCACCCAAACGCTGTCTCAGGGGCCCTTGGGCCCCAGGTTAAGAACCCCTGTGATAAATAAGGACTCTTTCAGAATAATGGTGGTGGAGGAAAATGATTATCTCCATGTTCCCAGAGAAAGGGAGATGAAGGCCAAGGGCAGTGGGGACTGACAGGCGCACAGAAGGTACTAGGCAAAGGGCAGTGGGGACTGACAGGCGCACAGAAGGTACTAGGCAGGCTCTTGCTCCCAACTTCCCAGAATTACTCACTGACAGTATTGATTTCCAGGGCTCCGAATATAAGAAAGTCTGCCTTCTGCTTCCGCAGCTCGCTCTTGAGCATCGCTGCCACCTCATGGCCTTTGAAGATCTGGTGGGGAGGCTCGTTTTGAACAAAAAATACCATCTTGGTGCTGCAGAGACATGGAACAGGATGAATGAGCTGAAGCTATCCCCAGCAGCAGCAGCTACCATTACTACTTCCTCTGCTTGTGCCAGACGCTGTGCTAAATATTATATGCATTCTGTCACTGCAAGCCAGTGAGAAGGTGCTGTCAGTGTCACCTCCATTTTACAGAGGACAACACTGGAGCTCAGAGGGGTTAAGTAACTTGCCCAAGGTCACACAGTTGTTTATGGCAGAGCCAGATCCCAACGCTGTTATGTCTGATTCTAAAGCCTATTCTTTTACAAATGCCATAAACTGCCCCAGCTAACAAGAGGGAGGACCCATTCCAAATGGCTAACTGGAGGGTGAGAAAACCAGGGATTTGGTATAGCTACGTCCCACTGTCAGCCTCTTTAGAGTTAAGACAGAAGTGCTGCTGGGTTTGCACTTGCGTTACTTGTAAGACAAACCACAATGCTTTGTAAATGTAAACTGCTGGATAGCATCAAAGATTATCCATGGGTCAAAACATAGCCAAAATGATTGTTATTATGACAGCAAGAATACAAGACCCTACACAATGGTATGGCTGTGACAAAATTATATTACTCTATCCCCACAATGTTTGCTTTCTGTCAATTTCTGTCCAAGACAAACCATGTTTGAACTCACATCTGGTTAACACAAAATCTATCCTCTATGTCTTAGTCTTAATTTTTGGTAGCTGCTTCTTGGGCTCCATGTTAGTCTCATAAATAGAACCTTCTCAATCAGCGGGCCACATTGGTTTATTAGTGGGCCCAAGATATCAATCCCCTGAGTATGCAGCATGGCCGGGTGGGACCTGGATGTCCCACACCAGCTGCCTACAGTACAAGTTGCCTTGTCTGTTTATCCCAAGGTGCCATATAAATAGCATCATTTTCTATGTGTGGCGTGACATAAAAGTTTGGAAGCACTGGTATAGACTCTGAAGACTTGCTGCACAGTGAGGCTAACAACAGGATATTTTTATAAAGTCTAGAATCAATAGGTAAACTCTTACCATAAAAGACTTGTGGTCCATTCCCCATTATTTTCTCCCAGTTAGCTAATCCATGCTTATAGTCTCGACATCTGTCTATATACCAATAACCCTCAAATCTCCTCTCCTCACGTCTCTCCCTAGTGACCCATCTGTATCTACAAATGCTTGTGGAAATACCCCAGATCTTCCACAGATGCCTCAAATCCAACATGTCTCAAAATAAACTCATAATAACAACCATTCGTTGAACATTATTAGGGACTATACAAACATTGTCTTATTTAATCCTCAATAACAGCCCTATAAATAGGCACCAGTATTTTCACAGGTCATCAGACAGGTTCAGAGAGGAGACGGCACCTGCCCGCTGTGGCGGGGCTAACACGGACCGGGCAGGGCTCAGAACTGGGTCTGACTAGTGCAAGGCCGTGCTCTTTCCCACTGTGATAGACCATTTTCCTCCAATCCCATGCTCCTCCTGAATTCCTCAACTAAGTCAATCTTGACCAAGCCAGAAGCCTAGAAAAATCCAGATGTTTCCCTCTTCCTCATGCCCCATATGCAGTGATGGCAAATACGTCAACAACACTCTTCCCAGCACGTTAGTCTTTCTGCTGCCTCTACCCAGCCGATTCCCACTAACTTGGACCAACCCAAGCAGCCATGTGCCCTGTTCCTACTCTCAGGTTGCTGAGCATAGCTTTAAAAAGCAGTCTTAATCATGCTGTCTCTGACCCAGCAAACCCCAACTGCATGTTAAATTCACCTGGGAGCTTTTACATTTTAGGGGCCCAGGCGCCACTGCAGCCAACTGGATCATAATCTCTGGGGCTGAGGCTTGGGCAGTGGTAAGTACACAAAAGCTCCAGGTAACTCTTATTGTGTAGCTAGAGCTGGCACCTTGTGTCTCTCACCTTGTATCTCTGACCTGGCCAGCCTCCCAGACCTGCCTCCATTTATTACCCTCACTCCCACCTCCTTTTCCTCTGCACATTCCCCTCAGTCTACACAAATGCTCAAGTAGTTCCTGTCTTTAAAAGATGTTCTTTTCATCCTATCTTCCATATTATTTTTGGCACCAACTTCTTCAAATGAAGTGATATTTATCCTTACCATCTCTATATATCCTCAAACCATGAAATCTATCCTCTGCCCTAAGTATCCACATAAAATGCTCTCACTATATTCTGATGATCCACTGATCACAAACCCAAAGGCCTGTTTTGTGTCTCACCACCCCTTCATCCCTGTAGCACCGAAATCCTTTGGCAGCCCCCCACTGTCAGGTCACCCCTTAACTCTCAGCAGATCATTCCCAGCTGGCTGTCCTGCCACCTCGCTGACTGCTGTTTCTTAGTTTCCTTTGCTACTTTCTTTTTCTGCCTCCTCTTTAAATAATGGTGCTCTCCAGAGTTCTGTCCTCACCCCTCCTGACGCTCTCCTGGTGTGACCCACCCATCCTCATTGCTTGGACTCCTGACCATATGGATGATCTCGGACTTTTCCTTCCACAAGTTCCAGCATTTACTTGCATATCTGATGGAAGATCTTCCCATGGAACCCCTAAGAAACCCCAAATTCAGTCACTGAAACTGGTTCCTTCTGCCTGCCTAATCTTAGTTAATGGCCTGAACCACCCATCCAGGCATCCAAACAGTAACCCTCACATTTAATGCCTCATTGGCTTTTACTCCTAAAGGGCTGACATGTCCTGTTGCTTTACCTCTGAAGTTCTTTTAATTTCTTCTCTTCTTCTGCCACTACCTTAATTCAGGTTTTATCGCCTTTTCACTGGACTACCTCAGAAGCTTCCTGTTTGGTCTCCTAGTCTTCGATCTCCTCCTGTTTTAGTCTAACCTCTGAGACATCATGACTCAAGCTCTTCTGTGCTCAGATTCCCAAAGCACCCTGAGCCCTCTCATCAGTCACACATAAAGGAGAAAGTGCTGGACTAGGGGCACAAAGGCCTGGCTCTGACACAACTGCTGTGTGACGCTGAGCAAGCCCTGCCCTCTCTGAGTCGGTCTCTCCATCTGATGTGAGATGGGGAGGTCTATATTCCTGCGTGGGTAGGGGGGTATTGTTGAAACAGTCTCTAAGGATTTTTCAGCTTGGGGTTTCTAGATTTTTTTTTAAAAAGATGGACATGCCATCTGACTGTGTCCACATTGGGGGAAGGGGTCTTAGGACAGATGCCTTGATTGGCTGACCCACAATTCCACTCACCAGGTTTCACCTCCACAGTGGTCCGGTCTGTGTCACTCTCACCCTTTGCATCGGTCACTTTCAGGTGAAATGTGTAGGTTCCCTCAACCAGGTTGGAAAGAAAGAGGATAGGGTGATGGTCAGAGTGATTTAATACCTCCTATAGGAGTGAACAACATGGTTAGGTTGCAGAAAAAGACACCACTCCTTTCTTGGAATCAGTTGCTGCTTCTGCGACAACTGAGTCTCTCTGGGCTGGGCCATTTCAACCCTGGGCAATTTCTCAGCGTTAGAACCCACAGCTGTGAGGATCAAGGGAGAGAAATCCATCCTGTGCCACACTAGCTTACAGAATGACCCTGAGCAAGTCACTCAACCTTCCTGGATTTCAGAGACCAATCCAGGTATGTTACTAGGGGCCACTTGGTCAACACTTTGTTAAAACAGATACTGGAATGCACGGCTCTTCCTCTTCCCCCCATCTTGCCACCTAGACCCTGTGTAGTTGTCCAGCCCCTGCCACACTTACGCCTGCTGCTGGGCTCCCCTCATCCCGAGTCCAAAGGTAGCTGACTATTCCCTTGTCATCAGAGGACTTGGAACCATCCAGCTCTGCTGTGTTTGCGGGCAAGGTGATCACCACATTCCCAGTTATCTTGGCTATAGGTGGTTTGTTCATTTCTAACAAAAGAGAAATCGCTGAAATAATGTGCCATTCTGGAAAAGAAGACAAGCATCCTCATGATGCTTATGGGGAAATTACACATCAAGAGCATCTTACATGGAGAACTGTTATAAGTGCCTGTCCACAGCAGCAACCAATGGTATAGATTTAAAGCTATCAGTACTGCAGTCCTGAGACCCCTGTCCTACCCAGAGAAGTGTTCTCCTGACACCATACAATAGAGGGGGCTAGCGTGCTTTTCCCATAGCAGCCTTCCCAAAAGGAATCTGTTTTTGTATTTTGCAGGTATGTGGAAACAAACACCCAAAGTAGCATAAAGCCTTAGAGTTCAGGTTTCATCCAGCTGATACCACAAATGCTCATTTGAAACATATTAAAATGTTATTCTCTGAATGTATTAATTTTTTTTATTCTTTTACTGGTACTCTACAAGAGAAAAAGAGAGCCCCACTTGAAGCTCTCTTATTCTGAGCTCCACTTGAAGATTTGTTTACTCAGATGTATACTCAGTATTCACTCAGCTCAGTATACTGTATCTGGAGGTCACCTACATATCTGATGGTTTTTCCTACTCTCAGCTATGGCCTTCTCCCAAGCCCCTTGCTGGTAGTCATGGCTACAAACCAGAGCAAGACCTGTCAACTCTTGCCTCCGAGCTGGCCTCAGCTTGCAGGCTCATATCCTAGGACAATCACAGGCAGCTGCCTGCAGTGCAGCTGTCATTCTAAGGTCTGACAGCAGGTGTCACTGTAGCCAACAGGAGAATCACAGAAACCCCAGGTCTTGGCAGCACAGGGGCAAAATAAAAATGGAAAGAAAAGAATTCTAATTCTTTCCCTATTCAATGGTGAAAGGAAGGAAGGAAGGGAAAGAGGGAAGGACAGTGGGAGAAAGCAGGGGAAGATATGGAAGAAGGATGGGGGAGGGGGAGAGAGGATAAGAGAGGAGGAGGGAGGGAAATTAAAATTCACCTTACAGTCAATCTCAGTTAAGGGTTGTTTTAGAAAAGAAAATAACAGCTGCCCTCACCCTTCTTCTCCACCTTGTCTCTAACTAATTTCTGCAATCAAACAAGACATGATGAATTTCTCAGCTATCTGACCCAAAGAGGCTGCTGCACAAACCCGAGGCAGAGAGGTACCTTCTTTGACAATGACATTCACAGAGCTCTGGCTTTGCAGGTTCCTCTCATCTTTGACAGTCAAGGTGAACACATAGGTCCCCACTTGAAGCCCGGTCACAGTGGCAACACTGCTGTTAGCGTTCTCGAGCTGCACCCCGTCAGGTCCCCTGGACAAAGAAAGAATCCAGAGGGTGGAGTTGTACCTGTCTGCAGCTCTGCCGCCCTTGACTCAGCAGGAGGAGACAATTATTGCCTTAGCTAAGACATGAACTATTGTTTCCCAGATCTTGACAGGAAATGTTTAAAAATATTCTCTTTGGACAAAGTATTATTTGGCCCCAAAATACAGGCTACCTGCTGGTCAGAAAATTCCATTCACCAGCTTTCAAACACATCTAGCCTTCTCCTTTATATGAGCTTCTAGAACACTTGAACTCTTTACCGTTCCAGTTTGTGAAAGGAAGAAAGTTCTCTGAGAGGCCTCTGATCAAAAGAGTGATGTTTCTGAAAAGCATTTCTGGCCCAGTAGTTGGTTCAGCCCTTGCCAGCAAAGAAGCAAAATGCATTCTTAAACACATGCCCAAATCCCTCCTGATGAAAAGTCGAGGAAAGGAAACAGGCCAAGGCTGCAGAGGAACTCTCAGGACAAAATCACCGCCTCCTCAGTGGCTCTATAAGCAAAGCTCCCTCCAGCTCCTGGACAGGGGCCACAGAGGACCCAGGACACCCCATGTCCTTCCTTCTCCCTTTGTGGCCTCAGAGAGCAGCCTGATCAGCAGAGTGAGCTCTGTACCAACACCCAGCACAAGATGTACATGACCAGAGAGCCCTTCTGCTCAAGGATCACAACGTCTCAGAGCTTTCTAAAACTACAGGACAACCACAGAAATCTGCACACATCCAGAATTTGCTTTGTTTTGCTTTTCAAACTGATTATCCTCTGACTCTAGTAGCTCCTCCTGAAACAGATTCTCTTCCAAGAAGCTATGCCAAGCATTATCTCTGCTGTAAACACTAATAAAATTCAGCTGAAAGCTTTATCAGCCGTATCTTCAATAAACAATTGCAATTAAAACACCCTGGGCTGAGGAACATTATGTTCTCCAAAAGACAGAAACAAGAGCTGAGGGAAATATTAATAATTTCTAGAATCCAACTCAGCAATCATTAAGTCGAGGAGTTTCTATAGTCAAATCAAAGCCCTTTCCACCCATCTCTAATGCCGTAGTCGAAAAATAAAAACAAAATAAAAAACAAAAAACCCAGTCTGTCCTATGGTTGCTACCTTTGGAAACTGAGAATGCTTTTAACTCTTCTTTGAATTCTTTTGCTTCCTATGGGATCCTGCATATAATCTGAGTTCCATTTGTTATGGCTTAAAGGAGCTGAAGAAACTGTGAGAACCAGGAATGGTTCAGTTAGGTAATTTCAGTTTAATTAGTATTATTTTTGTTACTGCCTTTGGCCTCGAACTTAATTGGTAAATGGTGTCTTCAAGGAAGCAATAACAGAGTAATGCTTTCATTTTATAGATGGATTTTCAATTCTTCTTAATAGCTGCTCTGCCCCATCCCCCCTGCCAGCCTTCCCCAGTTAATTTTGAGCAACAGTATTTTTCTGCTCCATTACCCCTTCCATCCTGCCTCTCAAGTGTAATTAAACTATGCATTTCAGCAGATGGATTGTACCTGCAAAAGCACCAGATCACACAGTACTACCTGAAGATTGACTGATGGCAAGCATTTTTTTTCCTTACAAAAATTACTTATAATATCATTTTCTTAGAGTTGAAGTTTGGAATTGCAAACATTTTTTCCTCAGCCACCCCCTAGGATAAGCCAATAAGAGCAAGTCAACTCTTAAAAGCAAATAAAACCTTGCTCTTCAGGGGCTTTGCATAAGTAAGGATTCTGTGTCACTACTTACTGTGTTTTTTCCCAAAGATATGAGATAATTTTCTGATCATCGGAGCTTTTGCTGCCATCCAGGGTTGTGCTGTCCACAGGAAGGGTGAGCTCTTTATCTGGGCCTGCATCTGCTTGAGGAGGCTTGTTGTTTTCTAGAAGACAGAGATTTGGAGGTCAAAAGCAGCCAGTCCAGGTGGGAAAAGGAGAGGAACCAATTGGGACATATGTTCTGGAAGCCATGGGAACTCTGCCTTTCAGCCCACAGAACTGTCAGATACTGTGGGGGATCTGGTTACCATTGGGGAGCTCTCAATGAAAAATATGAAGAGACTGAAACATACCAAACAATTCTGAAAGAAACATAGTAGGACATAGTGAAGCTATAATGCCATACTAAATTTGAAATCTAATGCTACAAGAATTCAAATGAAAGGGTGTGAGTGATGAGACAAGGCTTTCCTGAGGAAGTGAGTTTTAAGCAAGTCATTAAAGGACATGGTAGGATTTGGGATGGTATAGACTCTATCCCTTAGGTCACCTCAAAGGCACAATAACTAGCCAAGGGGAAGGCACAAGCTGAGGCTGAGAAGTACACTTTAGCTATGAAGAAAGGACAAGGGGAAGGGACGACAGCAGTCACCTGAGGTCCTGTGGATTGGTTCTACCCTCATAAGCTCAGAACCCAGCCCTCCTCTCTGCCAGCCAATGAAAGAGCCTGCCTGAACCACAAGGCTGGAGCTTACCAGGCTGCACAATAACAGTCACTTGAGCGGTGGCCTGCTGTCCTATTGTGTCAGTCACTGTGAGTTCGTAAGTGTAGTCTCCTTCTTGCATTGCAGAGAGCTGCAGGGTTGGTGTTCTAACACCCTGCATATAAATACAGAAGTGGAAAAGTGGACTCCCAGAATCACAACATCACACAATAATTCACACTTTGGTAGACACAATTCAACCAGTTTTCTAAATGTAAGTTGGCAGTGGACTATTACCTCCCAGTTCAGCATAATTAGTGAATGTTGAAATCAGACATCATGAGACATCCTGCTATAAGTTTCCCCCTTCAAAGGAACAACCCTCCCTGACACAGCAGCAGTTTCAAACAAAGCCAGAGCTCTCACAGGAGAAGGGAATATGGGAAAATGTACAAAGATTACCAAGGTCAGTCTCTATGATTCAAACCAGAAAGAACACCATGAACATATAATAAAATGACCCAGTTTTAAAAACACTATTTAAAAAGGTCCTTTTCCTTCTGAGGCTACACAGTGATCCTAACAAAGTCATCTCCATGAAACATGGCAGCAACTCAAGATGCTCTATGACACCATGCTGTCCCCTTACAGGTTTGTATATATTCTGTGACAACAGAAAAACCGAACATAATACCTAATTAAAGCAAGGTAAAATGTGGGCTTTAAGTCATGCCTGAAATCTAGAAACACAGAATCTTGAGTATCAGAACGAAAATTATAAATAATTCAGGGCAAACTTCCAATGCAGGAGCTTCCTGCAGAACAGTGGGCAAAAACTGGCAGCCTGTCGGCTGAATCCAGCTTGCAGACATTTTGTTTGGCCTGTGGTATCTTAAAAGTTGGAAATTTTCACATAAAGGTCTCAATTTCTGTCTTCTCTTAAAAATCTAGATTATCAAGCAATATTGGGACCACACTTCCATGTAGCAACAACAAGCTGGATCTGAAGAATAGCAGCTCACCCCTTTGGTCAGGGTTTAAGCTCTCGGGTCTAGCACAGCTCCCATCCAGTTTTCTTCATTTACATTACCTGCCTGGTGGCAGATCCAGACCCTTCTTATATGTCGCCAGAAAGAAGATATTCACCAACTAGTCAGACAACCTACTCCAACTTGTAACAGAGCTCACTAAGATTTGCACCCTTGTAGATTCTAAATAGTGTGATTCTCTGGAGTCATCCAGAACAATTAACATTTCTTATCCAGCTTTTTCTTTTAATATTAAACACTGAAGATTTTTGGTAACATGTTAATCAAAGGCCCCTAAAAGGCCCCTTCTGGGTTTGTTTTTAAAAATCTCAATGTTCTATGCACAAATCTGACTTTGGTAATGAAAATGGAGTAGAAGTGAGCCTTGATGAGTGGCCCAGTCCAGCAGCTCTACTTCCCCTGGGCAAGACAAGACAGAAACTATTCCCTCCTACCTGCATCTCCACCACCTTCCCTTTGCTGTTTGGGCTCAGTGACCACTCATAGCTGGTGATGCCGTGATCATCAGTGCTCTGGTTTCCAAAGAGGGTGATGGAGTTTTGGGGCAGGGTGATCACTTGGTTGGGGCCTGCGTTGGCAATAGGGGGGTAATCCACAGCTTTGTTCACGGTCAGGCTTGCAGTCGTAGAATTGGTAGCTCCATCAGAATCTACTACAGTCAAGCTATCAAGGCAGAGAGAAGAATTCAATCAGGGATGGGTTTAAGGAAAGAAGAGTAAACACTAGAGGACTGAAAATCAATGTTAATAAATACAAAGGTTACCTATTCTTACACAGTCTCATTGCAAAGGCAGAGAAGTCCTACTAGAAGCTAACACTGAATGAGGGTTCATGTGCTAGGCACTGTTCCAAGTGCTTTATGTCTCATTAAACCCTCACAACAGCTTTATACAGTATTATCTTAACTTTACTCCTTACACACGGAGGAGATCAAGACAAAGAGAGGTATGGTAACTTGCCCAAGGGCATACAACTTGACAGTAGTGCCGTCAGGGTCTGAATGCAGGCATTATGTCTCTAGTCCCCTTTTGCTCTGCTGCCTGCACGCATCTGTGTGCGGAGACCTTTACAAGCACGGTCTGATAGGGCCCTCAGAACAACCATACAGAGCAGGAATCATCGATTCCACTTTATAGGAGGTTTAGAGAGGCAAAGTAACATGCCCAGGGCTACACAGTGAGCAAAGATGCAAGCCCAGTGCTCGGATTCCAAAGCTCAGAAACCAAGTCTTAAGTAATTCCTAGTCCCTACTCCTGTGGAGTGTGAAGACACTACACTAAATACAGTGAGCTCTGTCTGTGGTGGGCTGTCCTCACATCGTCCTATTTCAGTTGTATACATGTCACAAGAATGGACATCCTGGGCAGACAGCCTCTGGGACGAACCAGGAGGGCTGGCTCCAGTAAGGCAGGAGCTTGAGATGAAAATGAATTCTCCTACGCAACAGTCCTACGGTTTGTGCCAGTGAGACATAGGATTTGCAAGAGGAAAAAAAAATATTCATTTATGAGAGCAAGCTTTTACCTAAATGATGCCTTCCAGATGAACAGCCTAAAGCTTCTCATGCCACCTCACAATGTGAGTATAAGCAAGCTAGGAGGTTTGGGATCCTTCCATTTTGCTGACAGGAAGAGGAAAAGCACAGAAAAGACATGCGGTTTGTTTAAATCTCACCACCAGCCACAGTGAGAGCCAGACATCTGCGGGGTTTTCTCTCACAATCTCACCTTTTACCTATGATCTGAAGGAGATTTTTGGTACTACAGCCTTTAGAAAAAAGGCACAAAAACTTCAGACACACATGTATGAACAAATCAGGAAATATCTGGAAAAGAAAAATTCACAGACGTTTTGTCTCTTTTCCTAGTTTCCTGCTGTTTTTACAGGTTTGTGTGTGTGTGTGTGTGTGTGTTTCTGTTTTTTTTTGTTGTTGTTTGTTTGTTTGTTTTTAACATATCTCACTTATCTCCTATGTCAGAATAAAAGCAAGTTATAGACAGACGGCAAAACGGCAGCTGCCCGATACTGTGACTTTTACCTCAAACAGTCCCCAGCTGCCATGTAGAGATCCCAGAACCAAACAGCAGCTGAAGATGGGGCTGGGGAAAGAGGAGACTGCTATTTAAAAGTAGGAGAGAGGAAAAGGTGAGTGAATCCCCACCAGAATAGGCCTTACTGCCTAATCCAATCCCATCATTTCATTGAATAAACAAAAAATTGAGGACTAGGAAAAAAGAATTGCTCTCAATCAATACCCCATCCACCAAAAAACTGTAGGCCAACATGGTGGTTAAAAGCTCAGACTCTGGAGTCAGACTGCTTGTGTGAGCTTGGTTGAACAAGTTACTTAATCTCTTTGTGTCAAAATTTCCTAATGTGTAAAATGAGAATAACTGTAATACCTATTGTAAGAATCAAATGAGATGCTTGCAGTAGCAAGCAAAGAGCTCAGAGTAGTACTTAGCACATAGTATATGTTCAAGAAATATTAGCTGTTACCATTTTTAAAAAGCATCAACCTGGCCCAGGCTTAATTCTATAAATGGAAAAAATCCTATATTAGAAATCTGAGGTAAAAAACAACTCAAATTTCCATTTTAAGTCAGTGAGAAGACTCCAATCTTGTATTGGCAGCTACTTTTTATTCACCTAAAGTCTTGAACCAATGGGAATATGGCTAAATCAGAACTTGCATATTGATTTATGTGTAGGTGTTGTGCTAGGACACTCATTTCAGTGTCCCTGGCAGCATCCACAATGTGATTAATCTCAGATCCATGGGAACACAAACACACATGAATAAGCCGTCACACTATGGTAGGTTCCAGATAGAGGCAATGAGTGAAACAGGAAACGGGCAGAGTCATATTCTCTCCCCCTGGTGGGATCTCTGAGAGACTCGTGGAAATTCAGCAGGTCCTTAAGGATGGGCAAAATTCAACAGACAAGAGTACTCAAGGAAGCAGAAACAAAATATACATGGATAAAGTGAAGGAAAAAACAGAATGAGCATTGGCATGGGGGTTAGAAAATCTGCATTTAAGTTCCAGTTGTGTGAGACCCCAGAGAAACCTCATTTTTCTAAGCTGTAAAATGAAGACGGAATCATCTGCATGTGATGTTTGTATGATACTCATGTGCAAGTGCTTTGTAACATACAAGGAACTTTGCAAACATGAGGATTACTCTGCAGTCAGCTTCAAAGCCTTATTAATCACATTTAGAATATCAACACCGTTCCCAAAAGTACTTTTCTTTCTTCAAAAAGCCCCGAAAGAGAAGGATCCTATAAATCATATTCAAACAAACCTCTAGCCAAAGGTAAAGATTTTGAGGTATCATAAATTGAGAACAACATGTAACCGAAATGTTTGTACCCCCATAATACCCTGAAAAATAAATAAATAAATAAATAAATAAATAGAAAAACATTTTCCAAAAGCAAGAGACAAAATGGGGTAAGGTCCTTATAGATTTTCCCTGAGAAAAGGCAAAGGACGATGGGCCTTTTCATTTAATGACAGAAATCCTAAAAATTTTTTAGAGCTCTGCTAGATAAGGCTTTGAGAAGGATTGACTGGGGCAGATCCCAATCTGCTATGCAATGACATTTGCCCTCAAAAGTTACCACTGCTGTGATCACAATCACCACAGGGGACCAATGGAACCAAAGGCTATGTTACCAACCACCTCCACAGCGAATCTGATATTTGTTAGAGTTACTCCTATAAGAACATAAAACCCATGAGAGAAAAAATAATGGCCTATGGTAAACTTGAAGCTGAATCTTAATTTACCTGAAAGTGTAGTTCCCAGGGACGAGCTTACTTAGTTTTAGTATGGCTGTGTCTTCAGAAATCTTCTCTTCTCTCAGAGGCCCCTTAAGTTCTTCCCAATGGTACTGGACGATTTTATCATCATCAGTGCTTTCTTGACCATAAAGAAACATCAGTTACAACATGGGAACGTGGGGTCTCAGCACTTACCCAGTTTACACAAATCAGGGCAACTACCCAGAGCCTGGAAGCTAGGAAAACTTCCTGACATTACAGACTCTCTCTCCAGAGTGTTTCTTCCCTAGGAATATTGGGGTCATTCTGCCTCTCTATGAATATTCTACTGTGTAGTTTTCCAAGGACTCCAACACAAGTAACCTCTGGTTAAAATGCTACTGTATGAAAAAAGGAAAATCAATAATTCTTAAACACATGAAAAAATATTCGACTTCACTTAAAAGAAATCCAAATTAAAATTACACTTGAGATTAGCATTTTTTACCCTATCAGATTGGTAAAGACCAAAATTTCATAACATATTATATGGGTAAAAGTATAGAAAGAGGCCCTCTCATTATTCATGATAGAAGCATAAATTGATACAGCCTCTATAATGAGTAATTTGGCAATATTTATCTTTGCCCCTGCAATTCTTTTAGGAATTTATCATACAGACATATTTGCACGTATGTTAAACATCATATTTAGGCTGGGCGCGGTGGCTCACACCTCTAATCCTAGCACTCTCCGAGGCCGAAGAGGGCAGATTGCTCGAGGTCAGGAGTTCAAAAGCAGCCTGAGCAAGAGCGAGACCCCGTCTCTACTATAAATAGAAAGAAATTAATTGGCCAACTAATATATAGAGAAAAAATTAGCCAGGCATGGTGGCGCATGCCTGTAGTCCCAGCTACTTGGGAGGCTGGGGCAGGAGGATTGCTTGAGCCCAGGAGTTTGAGGTTGCTGTGAGCTAGGTTGATGCCACGGCACTCACTCTAGCCTAGGCAACAAAGCGAGACTCTGTCTCAAAAAAAAAAAATCATATTTACAAGACTATTCATGGTCATATTGTTTGTAATAGCAAAAGAAGAGAAGTAACCTCAATGGTCATCAATAGAAATTGAAAACAAGTATGAATTCATATAATAAAATCATACATTCATACAATGGAATGCTATGTAATAATTAAAAAAGAATGAATAAGCATTTTATGTATTGATTTAGAAAAATTCTCCAACATAAAGAAAAAAGCATTGTACATAACAGTACATATAATACGCTTTCATTGTGCAAACAAGGGATAAAGACTATATAGGTATTTTCTTATATGTATATGAAATATCTCTGGGAGGGAGAAATAACATGAAATAACAATATAATTGGTTGTCTGAAGGAAAACTAGACAGTTGGGAGACAGGGATGGTATAATTCACTGTATACCTTTACATATCGTTTAACTTTGACCTATTCAAAACTATGAAATAAAGCAATACTATGTGAACCCTTTCTACCACTCACTATCACAAGTGCTTCTTCCTGTTCTCTCTCTTCCCCCTTGGCCTGCTATTCTCCTAGCCTCCTCTGTTTGCCAGAATCACCAACATGAAGTGCTCAACCTTGCTATTGAGTCCTCTGCTAAAGCAGTGACTGCCTGTGCCAAAAACCACTATTGGTGCCAAGACAGTTCAGGGTAATGGGGCCTTAATGGGTCTCAAAAGGAACCAAGCAAATACCAGAGAGAAGTCAGGCTAGAAACCTCCTGCAAACAGCAGGATCAAGGGCAAAGACCCAGAAATCCTCTCACATCACTCATTAGGTGACACTACTCTGAGGAATAAAATGGTAGAGCTCAGGCAAGGGTGTGGAGTGCATGCTGCGGGTCTCTCAAGGAGAAGGCTGGTAAGAATCTCGTTAGGCAGTGACGGCTGGGTAAGAGCTCCTCAGCCAGGCCTCAGTTACTTATCTTGCTATGACAGGAAGGAATTTTGTTTCCATAACCAAAAAGGCAACTCCATCTAAGCAAATTTGAACACCAGTGAGTTTCAATTAATATAATGCTAAATACATGCATAATCCCACTTCTTACCATTTCAGAGCAGAAGTATTACCTCAAACAAGCCACATGGGATTTTACATGGAGCCTATCTGGTTTGTTTCTTCCCAATCAGCTGCTTCAGATGGTTGGTCCCCCCATAACATGGTCAAGATTCTAAACAGAATGCAGACCTAGCTGGCCCCAAATCTTCTGTTAGAGTTTTCTACCAGAGTCCACAGTGAATGCTCTTCTAAAACATCATGCTTAGACAAGTACTCACGGCTGCCATCAATGACTGTAGAAGTAGTTGGCAGAGAGATCTCCTGGAACTGAGGTGACACAATGGCAACAGGAGGCCGATTCTTACGGGGCTCTGCCAAGAAAGTGACCCAGAAGAAATTGGAGAGCGGCTTTATAAATTATAGGAGGAGCAGACCATATCTGAGAGGAATATAAATCAGTTTCCATTACATAATTGATGGCTAAAGCATCACCACCAAAGTCGCAAGGCCAGGTTGCCATTCTGACATAAGACATCTGGGAGTGAACAAATTTCCTCCAAACCTGCCATTATCAAGACCACGTCCTGAGTATTCCTTTAATGCTCGTGTGCTATCTCGTTGGTAGAAAGTACTATAGCAGCAAGTGACTGCTTTCAGTCAAGCCTAACGAGAGGTGGTCAACAAACAAGCTTTGTGTAATAAAGGTCTTGGCAAGCAAACCTTCCCTTGGCATACACAGTGCTGAAAGGATGATGGGTGATTTCTCAACCACCACTGGGCTCACGGTGTGGGAGGTGACTATGGCTGAGTAACAGGAAGGTCCCAAACCACTCTGGTTTACCCTAATGACTGTGAACTACAAACCCAGTGGCCATTCCTTGAGAAATGATCAAATGGTCTTGATGCTGATCACATTTTTAAGAAGGTGAAAGGATTATCTTGGCTACAAAGTTCAAGGAATGAAAAGAAAATCTATTACTATTAAAGACAGAAAACAGTAAGAAATTGTGCCAAGTCAGGCATGGTGGCTTCACTTATAATCCCAGCACTTTGGGAGGCTGAGGCAGAAGGATTGCTTGAGGTTAAGGGTTCAAGACCAGCCTGAGCAACATAGTAAGACCCTATCTCTACAAAATATTATTTTTTAAAAATTAGCTGGGCATAGGGTGTGCACCTATGTAGCCGTGTAGTAGCTGTGGCTACTCAGGAAGCTGAGGCAGGAGGATCGCTTTCACCCAAGAGTTCAAGGTTATAGTGAACTATGATCATGCCACAGCACTCCAGTGAGACCATGTCTCTAAAAAATAAATTAAAAATAAAAAATTTGTGCCAGCATGTGTCATTCTCAAACTTCTCCCAGATTTCTCTGAAAATGCAAAACAAGATACCTTGATAATGCACTGTGATCTACCAATAGTAGCTCATTTAATAAGAATGACAGGATTACATTTCCAAGGTGAAAGAGACTAGTAGGGTAAAAATGAGGAACTCTGTGTACAAAGGCCCAGGTCTCTGGAAAGAGATCAGAAAGAGCCAGTCACTGGCTGGTTCTCCTTCTGCAGGCTCCTCCTAGGCTCCTGGCTTCCTGGTGTCTGTTAATTACAACACATGGTCCTCTCTCAGCACTACTTTTTGGAGAAATCGTTCTCTGGTAGACAAGCTATTGCTCAGGCCATGCCATACTGCATTACAGGCCATGTGCCCAACCCAGTGTTCCAACTAGAACACTGATGAAGTCTGTATTTTGCTACTATAAACTTTTACTATACTGCACTAGGATTTGACCAATAAATATATTACAAGACAAGAATAGGAATTAAAAACCCCAAAGTTAAACCTCATCTCCTCAGGAGTCTTGCAGTGGAAGCAATGGAGACACAGGCAGGGCTGGAAACACATACCTGGCTTGACTGTCACGTTCACATAGCCTTCCCCGTGGGCATTTTGACCTTCTACAAGCACTTTGAATTCATACAGTCCTGGAGTGAGCTGCAGAAGTGAGAGAAGATCTTTTAGACAACCACAAAGAGCAGCAATTATGTTTAAGATAACATGTATATCTAAACTTCCACATGCTAAATCTTTCACTCTTTTCTTGTTATGTTTCCAAATGGAAAAAGTAAACTAGCTAAAGAGATAAAACAATGAATTAAACTAAAAAAAAAAAGAGCTTTTAATGTGAATCTTATTACTAGCTGCCTCTGGAACAACAGAAGGGATTTCAGTGTCTCCGTACTCCCATTTTCTTTTCGGAAGAACATTAAGGGCCCAACCATCCTACTTCAAAGTTATGAAATTAAAATAATCAACTCTTCAAAGAAAAACTTTTGTAAAGATATCAAATAGCTCCCAAATATCTGAATATTTTTCCCTCCTGACTTTTACTAACTGTATAACCATAACATAAAAAAACCCCAAACAATAAAATTACCCACTATCTCACTATCCTAACACATCATCTCTATTTCCTTCTCATCTTTGACCACATATAAAAAATAGTTTTATACAGTTCATTTGTTCCACAAACATGTACTGAGACCCAATCTTGTACCAGTCATTGTCCTAGGCTTGGGTTTAAAGATGAATAAGGTAAGATCTCTACCTTCAAGGAGGTCATATTTCAATGGCATTCAGGGTCTAACTATTAATAGAATCAAGGCATCAAGCTTTATATTGTTCTTTCTTTCATTCATTTAGTATGAACACTTTCCCCATTATGGTATAGTCTTTTTCATATTCATTTTAATGACAGTAGAATAGGACATGAATAAATGTGTCATAATTCACATAAGCATTTCACATTGTGGATACTGGAGTTATTTCCAAACTTTTACTATTATGACTAATGCTATAATGAACAACTTCCAGTCAAATGGACTATTTTTCTTTCTTTAGAATTATCGTCTTTGGGTAAATACTAATTGACTGCAAGTAGCATTTTGACCACTTCCTCCTTGTAATCCTCTCCTTTCTTGGCTTTCCCTTCTCTGCCCACATTTCATTTCCTTCAGTTTCCTCTACCTTCCATACTTAAATGACAGTGTTCCCCAGGATCCCAACCTCAACCTGTTTGTTTCCTCACTCTGCACTCTCCCTAGTTGATCTTATCTATTACCGTGGCTTTTATAATCATCTATTTGAGGCTGATGTGCAAATTTACCTCCCTAGCCCAGACTTGTCTCCAGATCTCTTATCCTCTTTCCCCCAGCTACTAACTGGACAACTCAACTCAAATGTCTCACAGGTGCCTCAACCTCACTCTGTCCAAAAAGGAATTAATCATCTACAAACCTCCCCCAAACCTGCTCCTCTTTCCAGTAAATGTCCACCCAGGTGCCTAAGCCAAAAAACTAGAATTATCCTAGACTTCTCTTCCCTAACATCCCACTCAGTTCATCAATCATCAAGTTTTATCAAGTTAACCTCCATGTTATTTTTCAAATCTACTCACTTGTCTCCATAGACACTGCTATCACCTTAGTTCTTAACCATTCATTTTAGCAAAATTACTGAAATCATAGGCTTTAGAGCCAGAAAGCTCCAGTTCAGATCTACCATTTAATAGATTTGTGATCTCTGTCCAAATCACTTCATTTCTCCAATTTTTAGTTTTATCATTTGTAAAAAGAGATAGTAATACCTGCATCTTGGGGTTGTTACGAAGATTAAAATAAATAATTGTGTAAAACAATTAGCATCATGTCTGGCACATCGCATAAGCTCAATAGGTGGCTTTTAATTTTTATTTATTTAGTTTTTTTACTCCGGCTACTATCATTTTATACCTAAAGTTTTTAACAGAGTCTTCATAGGTATTTCTAGTTTGAATCTTATCCCCTCCAATCTGCAGTCAGGGTAATCTTTCTAAACTGAAGATCTGAACACGTCTTTCTGCTGTTTAAAACCCTTGAAAGGCTCCCTCTTCCCCCTGAGATAAGAGTCAGTCTTTAATCTGACATACAAGGCTCTGCTCAATTTGGTCCCTGCATTTTTCCAGCTTACTTGTGCCACTACTTTTCTCATTCCTTAGGGTCCAGTCAGGCTGAACCACATATAATTCCCTTTTCCCCACATTTTCTGTCTTATTTTTGGCCCAGTGGATATGTTGCTTCCTCTGCTTGGGGTACTATCCCTCTACCCTTTACTCAGTAAGTCAGTTACCTTTCATGACCCAAATAGGCAAACTCTAAGAAATCTAACTCCCCAGGACTTCAACAGCCCTCTGCACTGACCTAGTGTTATCACTGGTTACGATTACCTGATTCCTGTCACTATCACCTACTAGACTTTATTCTCCTTAAACATTAAGACTGGGGTTAATTCACTGGCAAACGCCCAATGCCTGCCACATAACCAGTGTACAATGAATAGTTGTTCAATGAATGAATGAATGAATGAGTTTGCTGGGTCAAAGAATACAACATTTTTATGGCTGTTAATAACTACACTGAATCCCATAAGGACTGAGCCAAGGTACAAAGGCATGTGGCCACAAATAACCTAGCTCAGCTCCCAAATGCTAAAATCCTTATGTTATCCTTAAAAGCTGTTTAGTGTATATTTTCGGCTATCACTACCATGCTGGTACAGTCTTCCTACCATAAATGAAAATTTGAGAATCATACACTAACAAATACTGGATGTCAGCCAGCCAGACTTTTGGAGGAGTCATTTCTGAAAGACTGTTCCCAGCTTAAATGTGGACAGAAAATTCTATATTATTCATCTTAGAAAACAATCAACTTCCTGTAAGTAAAAGGAGACAAATTCACCTTGGATAGTTTGAGGATCTGGGAATATTTCCCTTCCATTTCTCCACTGTAGTCTTTAGGATGAGTAATCAGCTGCCAGTCGTAGGTGTAGGTTTCTCCTATAGAAGGGCAGTTACAAAAATCATGAAAACACACACCTACACACAAAAAAGATAGCCACATAGCCTGCCAATAACAAATCCCTTCTAAATCTTGATAAGGCCTTAGTTTTCAAGATTTCACCCCAAAGTCTGCAGGGAAACCAAACCATCTGCTAAAAGAAAGAGTGGCTTCTGCTGACTCAGCTATAAGTTAGAGCTTCTTCAAACTTTCTCTCAACAGTGCTCATTCCTGCCCCATATCCACCCTCCCCAAGGGCAACCCTCCCTAAAAAATACCAGGTTGCTCATGGTGTGGCATACCACTGAAAATACATGCCCTACCAACCACTATAGATGAACTCATTGGGAACAAAGGCCATTTTCTTGCAAAACTTCTTTTGCAACAAAGAACAGCAATGACTTCTAAATAACATGGTTCAAAAATAGCTTTTTACAGAGTGCTAACAATGCTCCTCTCACTGAGGTCATCACACCCTGGTGAGTTAAAAGAGCTACTTCATTCCTGCTGAGCTAAATAACATGCTGCAGAAGATGGTAGGGGATGGCCCATTTAAAACAGGCCCCACTGAAATTAATTAAGATCAAATGAAGCATTAAATGGTCCTCATTTGCAGCTCAGACTGTATCACTGGGTAGGGCAAGGGTAGAATCCTATTATTGAAATGGAATCCCCTCTCCAGTAAAAGTGGTCTTAAACTTTTTTGGCACAAAATGCATTTCTGGCTAGGAAAGGCTGGGATTTGGTAGGTAGGTTTAGTTTAAATTACTACTCAAAAGTGAAAAAGAAAAGCAACTTCACAAGCTTAGCAGAGAGCAATCATCTTTTTCTTATTTCATGAGTTTAAACGTTAAAGTTAGCACAGAGAACCTAACTCCAAGTTATTCTTCATCTGAAAACCAGATTCGATTTTATAAGCCTGGCTCACAAGATCCTCCTCCGCCCAAAATTAGTATTGTTTTGGCCAGTTGTAAGCACCGGCAGCTCTCACAGATGTGTCGAGTATCTAGAAGTTGGGTTAGGGGAAGAGGAGGAAAGAAAGCAGCAAAAGTAGGATTCAAGCTATGAGACATTTCTTCTAATTATAGTTGGAAATTTTCTTCCACACAGAAAACAGACTCACAGTAGTCTAGGAACTGACAATTTCATAATATCTAAGGCTAACAACACAAATTTCAAAAAGGACAATATTCGTAGGACAGAAAAGAACTCTGCCTTATAAGCAGAAATTTGCCTGAGGAGGGGAACTACTTAGAATAGGTCTGTTAGAATGCTGGCTATAGTCATTTAGGGCAGTGGTTCTAAGATGGGACCTCCAAACCCTATAGGGATCCTGATGGGCTGCCACAGGTCGGGGTGGGGATAAAGAGCATGCAGAGTTGGTCCTGCATCACTGCCCCTGTCCTTGGAAAGTGTGAAACCGTCTATCCCGTATATCTGATAAGGGCTGGAGAATCTGGGGAGAGCAGAGTTGAAAAGAATCTGTTTCTGAACTGATGTGTTTGGGAATATTGGTATATGTGATGATAGTAACTCATAGAAATGTACATGCAAATATGGGTTAGGAAAAAAAATACAGTAGAGCCGAGTGTATCTTCACAAGAGTGGGAGTAATCACAGCTCAAGGCAGTTCTTTTCTCACCTCCATCTTCAAAGGCCACCAAATTCAATCACCTTAACTTACCACCAAAGAAAGGAAAAAAGCTTTTCTAGAGGAAGGTGGAATGAATTGATAAGGGAACTTCAATTTGAAAGCAGAAATATAGAACAGAGAGGGCATTTTGGTTCTGGAAAAGTACTGTTTACATAAATACACTGTTTGGCATTATACACCAAATTTAGGAATACTATATTGGAAATGTGTGTCCCTAAAATGGAAGGACTGCATCCTGAATAGGGAAGGGCATTCTACTTGACCAACCTTTTAATGAGAGTAACATAAACCTAAGCTAACCATTTTCCATCAAAGTATGCTTCACTCACGTCATATATAGTCTTAAGAGAACACGTATGTGTTTATAAGTCAAACTCTGGTATATTAACATTTATTTCAAAGGTGAAAGGAATGCTCATATTAAAAAAGTTTAATGATTCAATCATCCCCTAATTTACATATTTTATAAATTTGAATTTTGTATATGACACTGGGCTTATCTTCCTTTTTTTTTTTTTTAAAAGAGACAGGGTCTTACTATGTTGCCCAGACTGGCTTCAAACTCCTGGGCTCAAGTGATCCTCCCACCTCAGCCTCTTGAGTAGCTGGGACTACACGCACATTGCCACAAGGCCTGCCCCTTATCTTTTTTTTTTGAGTTACAAATCTATAATAGCAGTAGGCTTACTTCTCTCCAAGTTCTACCATTTGTTTTTTTGGTTTCTTTGTATTTTTTTTTTAGACAAAATCTCGCTCTGTCACCCAGGATGGAGAGCCATTGATGCAATCATAGCTCACTGCAGCCTTGAACTCCTGTGCTCAAGGGATCCTCTCAACTCAGCTTCCTGAGTAACTAGGACTACAGGTGTGCATCACCATGCCCAGCTAATTTTTTAAAAAGTTTTATAGAGATGGGGTCTTGCTATGTTGCCCAGGCTGGTGTTGAACTCCTAACCTCAAGCAATCCTCCTGCCTCGGCCTCCCACAGTGCTGGGATTACAGGTGTAAGCCACCACCCTGGCCTACATCTGCTATTTACTAGTTGTTTGCCCAAAACAAACAGATTAATCTGAGTCTCAGTTTCTTCTCCTTTTCTTTTTTTTCTGAGGCAGGGAGGGTCTCGCTCTGTTGCTCAGGCTAGAGTACAGTGGCATCATCATAGCTCACTTCACCCTCAAACTCCTGGGATTAAGCAACTCTCCTGCCACAGCCTTCTGAGTAGCTGGAACAACAGGAAAATGCTACTACCATGCCCAGATAATTTTTCCATTTTGTGTGGCACTGGAGTCTTGCTATATTGCTCAGCCTGGTCTCAAACTCCTGGCTTCAAGCAATCTTCCCACCTTGGCCTCCCAAAGGGCTAGGATTACAGATATGAGCCACTGTGCCTAGCCAGTTTCTTCTTCTTTAAATGAGTATAATATAATCTAATAAATAAATTCTACATTGATGAGCATCAGCTATATGCTAGGCACTGAACTAGTGACTTACACACTATCTCATTTTGCCCATAAAGTAAACTTATCGGGCAGGAATTATTATCCCCATTTTACTGAGAAATAAATGGAAACTCAGAGAAGACATTTACTTAAACTCAATCAGCTAATGACTGTCTATGCTAGAATTGTAAGCCAGGCTTAACATCAAAGCCTATGGTCTCAAACCCTGTATTATATTGCCTCTTGTTTTATGTAAATATTTATACACACTCATGCTATGTCTTATCCTCACAGGACTGTTGTAAGGAGGAAATAAGCTGAGGTATGTGGATAACATTGTAAGTTAAAAATGAATTTTATGCTAGCCAGGCACAGTGATGCATGTCTGTAGTCCCAGCTACTTGGGACCCCATTGCTTAAAAAAAAAGATTCTATCCAAATTTAAAGGGATTTTTACCTTGAAGTGGTTCTTGGAGAACATATGCATTTAATTGAACCGAATTCTTGGGTAGGGTTATCTGTACACTCTCTCCAGCAGATACCACCAGTTCTCTTATAACTGGAAACAAAGTAAACATATCAGAGATAAGAAATCGATCCAGACTGTCCCATTTCTCTTCTTCCTTTATGATCAAACTCCTTTCATGAACAATATTCAGCTACTATCATCATTTACTAATCATTTTTCTATTCCCTAATCCTCTGAAATTTGATTCTGCACCCACTTTTCCATTAAAAAGGATCTTTTCAAGGTCATCAATGAACTGTTTCTTAGCCAATCTAATAGCCGTGTCTCAAACTTCATCCTGCACCTCAGGGCATCCACTGCTGCTAACTGCCTCCATCTTAAAACTCTTGGTGATCTCGGCCTTATATCATTCTACTTTTCCTCCTTTCTCTTTTTCTGTACCGTGTTTTAAACTATAGTCTGTCCCTAAACCTTCTTTACCTCCTGCTTTCCCCAGAGTTCAAATTGTTTAAAATATCATCTCTATGCTGATAAATAACTTTCTAATAAGATACATATAAAAAGAGTCTAGAAAGAAAGGCAAATCTCAGTAACAAAACCTACCTTACTTTCTTTCCATTCCAATTGCTACAACCATAGACTCATTGTTCACACTTATATTATCCCAAGAATTTTACCTGATCTTCCCTCTACTAGCTGTCCCCACTCTGATCCATTCTGTCTTCCTACAATACCCAACACCATTAGTCTTTCTAAAATACTCACTGACCATGTTATTGTCCTATTCAAGACCCCCACTCCCATACTATGTTTAAGGCTAAACTTCTAACCTGGCATTGGAGAACTACCATCATCTGATCTCACCAGCTGATCCTTCCTACTCAATTCTGCTGCTAGTTATATTAATTTTCCCTTTTATGTTCCACAGAAGCCATGGTCTACTCTCAGGGACTTTGCTAAAGCTATTTCTTTCAATTGGAATGTTTGCCTTTCTTTATTCTAAATACAGCACTTTTTTTCTAGCTTAAAGTCTGTCTCCTCTCCAAAAAATCTTCCTAGACCATTTCAGTTCAAACTGATCTAATCTTGAAATACGTTAGCATTTTTGGAACACCCAAGTCAGCACAGACCTATATACTGTCTTTATACTATTCACCATCTATTTCATATATGTCAGGATTTCTCAACCTCAGCCCTACTGACATCTTGGACCAGATAATTCTTTGTTGGGGGTGGGGGGACTATCCTGAGCACTATAGGAGATTTAGCAGTTCCCCTGGCCTATACCCACAAGATGTCAATCGCACCCCCCCACCACAGTTATAACAACCAAAAACATTTACAGACCACTGAGAACCAGTGATGATGCAAATCTCATTTCTCTGACAATAATTGTTCATGTGGTATGAGACCCTGAAACTAGGGGAGCTTAAAGCAAACAATAGGCTGGTTCGCTCATATCTCAAGATTGGGAGGTGAGATGGGCTCCCCAGACAAATATGAAACTTGAGATTTCTCTGGCTCTGCCTGGGAACTTTGCACTTAGGGAAAAACGAAACATCCTTTATTGAAGCTGCAGCATTTGGATGCCCCAGGAGATGAAATAAGAACTCTCTGAAGTGACTTTCAAAAAGGAAAACAGAAAAGAAACCATGGCACTCAGAGAAAGTACAATGGACTAAAAAATGGCTATATAATACAGAACAACCCAAGCTCTTCACAATTACACCAACAATTACAGGCATTCTGCCTGAATACAAAAATTACTTCGGTGCCTCAGGATTTGAAACCATAAAATTTCATGTTCTAGTACCACCAAACGAGACCCTAGGAAATTAAAAATTGGCAAAAATTCACTTCCACTGGCTTTGCTTCACCCTCTTGACTTTTTGAGGGGATAAAGAGCAAATTAGTTTCCCTGCCTAACCATTTCCTCTTAATACCTTAGAACAGCACCTGTGAAACACAGACTTGTTAAGTCAACACTCCATGTATAAATCTCTTTCCTACGAGTGGCTTTAAAAATAAAAATGTTGTAAAAATGAGAGACAGATATCTGACCTACAACCAGCCTTTCAGAAGGCAAACAAGTGCATGGATCCAACTCTTTCCTCCCAGTAGCCTTTGTTCATTTGATTCCTCTAGTATTACATAATCGAATTTTGTGCCTTTAAGCTCTGGGAAAATGAGCTTCATAACCTTCCACAGGCTGGAGGCCTGCTGAGAAAGGGATCTAGAGCCCCAAGTCCATGATTACAGAGACACTGACAGGGTTGTTTTTCTCCATCATACAGTGTTCAAGTCATGCCTCCTTCCATTCTTTCCTCTAAAAGGGAACACTCTGATCAAATATTCACTTTCGCATTCTAACTACAAGGGCAGGAGCAAAGGGCCTCACCTGGGTGTGGTGCTGAGGTGCTCTGAAAAGAGGGCTGAGGGGCAGGAGTGGCATAACTATAGGAGGGAGCCACTGGCAGAGAGGTAGCAATCTGGATGTTCCCAGAACTTTTGACTTGCTGACTGCTGGGTGTAGGAACAGGATCCTTTGATATCTCAGGTTGCACTGATACATTCTTTGGCCAACCAGGCATCTCTGCAGTCAGGTCTGTGGTTAAGAGACTGGAAATTGTAACTGCCTTGTGGACCTAAAGAAACGCAAAAACTCATCTGAGTAGGCAAAAGTTACACAGGTTTTCAAATTTTGTCTCATGAAACAGTAGCACATTAAATGTTTTCTTGAAAAATGCAAAAATATCAAAAATATTAAACAAACTAATCTCACTACCCAAAGAAATATGGTGTTAAAAATGTTGATATAAATCATCTCAGTTTTTCTCTATGCAAAGAGTTCTATTTAAAACAAAATAGTAATGACTATACTATGTATACTTTCATCTTCTTTTATTAACATTTATGTTTAATCTTTCTACAAATTCTTACTGAGCACCTCTTATGAGAGCAGGCCTTGTAGATCCAAAATATGAATAAAACTAATCATTGTGCTCAACAGTGGGGGATTGAGAACTGATAACACAGTAAGTCAAAATGGTGACTATACCTATAAAAGTTTTGATGAACAAAAAAACATAATCTAATTACACTTAATCCCTTCCCCTTGGATAGAGGGAGGGTATGGAGAAGAATGATTTTTTAAAAAAAGAAAAGGGCTTCCTGGAAGAGGAGAGTCCTCAGCTGAGTTTTAGAGGAAAAACAGTTGTTTACCAGACAAAAGGCTGAGGGGAGAGAATGAGTATAGGCGAGGGAAATGAAATTAACATGGTCTGCATTGGGAGCCGAGAGCCATAAGCGCAGTGAGGGGCAGGAAGTAATGGAAGATAAGCTGGAAATACAGACAAGGACCTGACGAAGAAAGTATTATATGCTACTTTAAGGAACTAGGTAATCGTGAGCAGCTTAAGGGATGTATGCAGGGAAGTGACAAGGTCAGGTTTCTGTTTCACAGGTCGCTTCTCAGTGTACAGATTTGAAGAACAGCAGGAATACCACTTAGGAGGGTACCACATTCATCCATATGAGAAAGGATGAGGGGTGAAACAAGGGTGGTGGTATGGATTTTTAAAAATCAAATTAGTTGAAGTGTAATTCACAAAAAATAAACTATACACATTTCAAGTATAGATGGTCAATGGGTTTTTTTTTGTCTGGGTTTTTTTTTTAAACAGAACATTGCTCTGTCACCCCAGCTAGAGTACAACGACATCATAGCTCACTGCAGCCTCAAACTCCTGGGCTCAAGCAATCCTCCTGCCTTAGCCTCTCAGAGTGCTAGGATTACAGGCGTGAGCCACCACACCCCACCCTAATGTTTTGACAAATGTATATATCCACGTAACCACAATTAAGAGAGAACACATTTCTATCAGCCCCAAAAGTTCATTCATGCCCCTTTGCAACAAATTCCTGCCTCCACCCTCAGGTTCAGGCAACCACTGATTTGTCTTCTGTCACAGATTAGTTTGGGTTTTCTTGTATTTCATATAAAAGGAAATCATATACACACTATTTTTGTTTCTGGCTGCTTACACTCAGTATTATTGAGACTCACTCATGGTACTGTGTGTATCCATAGTATATTCTTTTTTATTACTGAGTAGTATTCCATTATAGACAGACAAAATTTGTATTCTATTCATCTATTGATGGAGATTTCAAAAGTTGTTTTCAGTTCTCAGCTATTATAAAGCTGCTATCAATGTCTGAATACAAATGTTTCCATACACATGTTTTAATTTATCTTGGGTAAATATTTAATACTTAGGAGAACTGCTGGTTATACATAAGTGTATGTTTAACTTTATAAGAAATTATGAACTGTTACCCAAAATGGCTATACCATTTTGCATGTCTACCAGCAACATATGAGAGTTCCAGTTGCTCTACCACTAGGTATTCCTGGTCTTTTTATTTTTTGCCATTCTAGTGGTTATGGAGTGGTATCTCACTGTGATTTAAATTGTATTTTCCTGATGAGTAATGATGCTGAACATATTTCCGTATGTTTACTGGCCAGGTTTTCTTTGGTGAAGTTTATTCAAATCTCTGCCCATTCTTTTTACAGCTTTATTAAGGTATAATAGACATATAATAAATTGAACATATTTAAAGTGTACAATTTGATAAATTTTGATATATGGGTACACCTATGAAACCATCACCACAATCAAGATAATGAACATATTCATGATATCCAAAGATTCCTCATATTCCTTTGTAATCCCTTCTCTCTTCCATCCATATTCCCTAAGCAACCATTCTCTGCCCTTCTCAGTATTGTTTTTATTTTCTAGAATTTTATATAAATGGATCATACAGTATGTACTCTTTTTTAGGTGAAGGAGTCTGGCTTATTTCAAATTATTTTGCTATTCATCCATGTTGTATGTATCAATAATTCATTCCTTATTATTGCTAAATAGTGTTCTGCTACATGAATATTCCATAATTTGTTTATTCATTCACCTATAGATGGATATTTGGCTTGATTCAAGTTTTTGGTTATTACAAATTAAGCTGCTATAACCACTCCTCTATAAGTCTTTGTATGGAGATATCCTTTCATTTCTCTTAGGTAAATACTTAAGAGTAGAATGCCTGGTCATATGGAAAGTGTATACCTTTAACTTTTTTTAAAAAACTGCCAGTGTTCTAAAGTTGTGATGACATGATACAGTACCACCACCATTTTGAGTGTTCCAAGGTTATCCTACAACCTTGTCAATTTTTGGTGTGGAAGTTTTATTAATTTTAGCTATTCTAGAGGTATGTAGTAGCAGTTCACTGTAGTTTTAATTTGCATTTTCCTATAATTAATGATGTTGAACATCTTTTCATGTATTAAACATCTGTATAACTTCTTTGGTGAACTATCTGTTCAAATATTTACCCATTTTTTAAAAAATGGGTTACTAGTTTTCTAATCAAGTTATAAGAACTCTTTATGTATTCTATAAACAAGTCCTCTGTCAGACATATAATTTGCAAGTATGTTTTCCCAGTCTGTAGCTTGCTTTTTCTTTTTCTTAGTGTTAGCTTTTGATTAGCAAAAACTTAGAATTTTGATGAGCTCCAATTTATCATTCTTTTCTTTTATAGCTCATGTTTTTAGTGACATATCTAAGAAATCACTGCCAAACCAAGATTTCAAAAATTTTCTTCTACAAATTTTGTATTTTTAGCTCTTAAATTTAGGTCTAAGATCCATTTTCAGCTAATTTTTCTGTATTGTGAGACATAAGGGTCAAGGTTCATGCTACTGCATATCACTATTCAATTGTTCTAGCACCATGTGTTAAAAAGATATCTCTTCCCCAGTGAATTGCCTTGGCACATAAAATGACCATGTATGTGTGGGTCTATTTCTAGACTCTATTATGTTCCATTAATGTAGTCTATTTTTATACCAATACTACTGCCTTGATTACTGTGGCTTTATAATAAGTCTTAAAGTTATTAATAGATAGTTTAAGTTCTCCAACTTTGCTGTTCTTTTTCAAAACTGTTTTGATCACTCTAGGTCCCAATCCATAAACATGGTTGTATTAGTTTCCTAGAGCTTCCATCACAAATTACCATAAACTTGGTGGCTTAAAACAACAGAAATTTATTCTGTCGCAGTTCTGGAGACCAGAAGTCTGAAATTAAGTTGGCAGGGCCTCACTCCCTCGGAAGGCCCTAGGGGAGAATACTTCTTTGCCGCTTCTAGTTCCTAAAGGCTCTTAGCTTTCCTTGGCTAATGGCAACATGACTCTAATCCATGCCTCCATCTTCACATCGCCTTCTTTCCTGTGTCTCTGTGGATCCAAATTTCCCTTTCTTTTCTCTCGTAAAGATTCTAGTCATTGGATTTAGGGCCCACCCTAAAGACAAGAATATAAGATGATTCCATCTCGAGAACCCACTAATTACATCTGCAAAGATCCTATTCCCAAATAAGGTCACATGCTGAGGTTCCAGCTAGACATGAATAGTGTCATGGGGCACTGGGATTGGGACACTAGTTACTACAATATATTGTAGTATATTGTAGTAACTCAATATACTACAATATATTGTAGTAACTCTAGATTCTGTTTTATTTTTCTGATGGGCTATTGATACCTATTACAATGGTATCTCTCTCCATTTATTTATTTCTCAAATTTCAGCAATATTTTTAGTTGCCAGTATATAGTTCTTGTACATATTTTGTTAAATTTATCCCTAAGTATTTCATGTTTTGGGATATTATAAATAGTTTAAAACTTCAAGCCAGGTGCAGTGGCATGCGCCTGTAGTCTCAGCTACTTGGGAGGCTGAAGCGGGAGGATCACTTGAGCCCAGAAGTTCAAGCCCATCCTAGACAACAAAGTAAGACCCTATCCCTTAAAAAAAAAAAATTAAAAATAAATAAAAAATAAAACTTCCATTCCCATTTATTCATTGTTAATATATAAACACAAGTTATTTTTCTGTATTGACCTTATATCCTGCAATTTTCCTAATTTCACTTAATAGTTCCAGTAGCTTTTATGTAGATTCCTTGGAATCTAGGTACATAATCATATCATCAATCATATCATCTGTGAATAAAAGCAGTTTTGCTTCTTCATTTCCAATCTGTATTTCTTTTTCTTACATTATTACATTGGCTAGAACCTTTAATACGATGCTGAATAAAAGCGGTTAGAGCCACTTCCCTACTTGTTAAGCAAATGTCATCACGTTTTCCTTTAAATCTTTGAATATAGTTTCTTTTTTTTTTATTTTTGAGACAAGAGTCTCACTCTGTCGCCCTGGAATACAATGGCATCGTAGTAGCTCACTGCAGTCTCAAGCTCCTAGGCTCAAATGATCCTCCCACCTCAGCCTCCCAAGTGGCTGGGACTACAGGCCCGTGCCATAACACCTGGCTAATTTTTCTATTTTTAGTAGAGACAGGGTCTCAGTCTTACTCATGCTGGTCTTCTGAGCTCAAGCAATCCTCCTGCTTCAGTCTCCCAGAGTATCCTAGCAAGGATTATAGGCGTGATCCACTGTGCCCAGTCTGAAAATGGTTTCTTTTAATTTCTTAAGCATATTTTAAACAGCTGCTTTGACGTCTTTGCTAAATCTAACAGCAGGGCTCACTCAGAAATATTTCTAATAA